GGTGGGAGCTCAGGGCAGAGGTGGGAGCTCAGGGCAGGAGTGGGGAGCTCAGCGCAGGGGTGGGAGCTCAGAGTGGTGGGGTTGGGGAGCTCAGGGCAGGAGTGGGGAGCTCAGGGCAGGCATGGGAGGTCAGGGCAGGGGTGGGACATCAGGGAAGGGGTAGGGAGCTCAGAGCAGGGGTGGGAGCTCTGGGTGCTGGGTTTGGGGAGCTCAGGGCAGGGGTGGGGAGCTGCTCTCTGGGAGGGCAGGCAGGGAGGCGGCAGTACAGGAAAGTCAATGGCTAGGTTCTTACACCCACAGTGTGGATGGCAGGTAAGCCCTCAGGTGCAGAGAGGTGACGAGTTAGTACTAGACTACCTGCCAACACCAGAGCCTTTGGAGGGATGAACACGGGAAAAGGCACAGGAAGAAAACTCCCACCCACAGACAGGGAAGACAAGGCAGGAAGCACGGTGTGTGTGAGGGAGGGATGAAGTGCCCCAACGTCAGGAAGCTACAGGCTGAGAACTTCACATAAAATACATCTAGGTTTAAACTAAAGTGTTTCAGAAAGGCTACTAGATAAAACATAAATTTTCTAAAAACAAAATACCTAGCAACAAAACAATTTGCAATGTACCTTACAGAATACTTAGAAATCAATCTTAATAAAAGATGTGCAGGAGCTTTAAGGAGAAGAAAAAACATTACTGAAAGACATTAAGGAAGATGATTAGCAGAGACACAATGAGATGTCCATTTCCACTGAGAGAGACTCATCAAAACGTATCCCAATTTAACCTCTAAAATGAGAAATTAAAAAAGCACTTCCAGTAAATTTGCATGGCCAATTCTAAAGATACAAGAGGAAAATTAGTCAAGGTGACTATTAAAAGGAAAAGAGGAGACTCGCCAACTAAGTATGTGTGGAGCTGGAACAGAAATGCTAGCATTGCAGAAGGCACTGCGGAAGGAATCAGCATAAAATGAGGACAGGCAGGAAGATTGTCAAAAAGGTGCCTGTGAGGAAGGGGGTCTAAAAGGGCCTGTCAAACGAGGTGGCTAACAGCAGCCCTACACACGCAGAAGCAGGGAGTCCAAACCAGGGAACCCGAGGGCTGAGGGCCTGGTACTCGTAGTGTCATGGGCACGAGTGTCCTCAAGGACAATGGACCAGAACTGCCCACCAAATTCTGAACTCTGTACCATCATCCTACTGGCCCAGACTCCAGCCCAGCAGTGCACCTTGAACGTGGGAGCGAGCAGCTGTATTCACCCTCCACACTCGTGACAAAAAGTCCCAAATGTGGGGTGAGCCCTTGCCACTCGTGACACAGCGTCCTTTCCCATTCTGTTTTCTGAGAACTGACCCTTGCTTTCTAAGAAGTATCTTTACTAGTAAAACTGTCATTCCTGCCCCTCTCCTTTCCTCTCAAACATGCGCTCTACAAAGGCTGGGTCCACACTGGATTATTTCTGAGCAGTACATGACCAGGCCAAGCCAGTGCATTTGTCCAGGACTGGCCTTCCTGTTATCTCCCACCTGGCTCAATGCTTTATCTGGTCGAGAGAGGCCAAGCCAGGGCACTGATCGCCAGAGAAGGTCTCCTTTACATCTGAGCTAGATATGCAACAGGTGACATCTCACATCAGCAGAAAAGATGCACCAGAGAGGAAACAGGACGACGGGGCAGCCTGAGAGAAGAGATTCAGATGCTGAGTTCTCATCTTAGAGAACATTACTGTCATGCTCAGAGGCGCTGAACCAACTTGTAGCTGCCTTTCCAGCGGATTTAAATTGCATGCCTTTGGGTTGGCAGCATGGTTCCCTAACACCAGGCCATCAGAGGTCCATGCTGTTCTGTGCCCTCACGTCAGGATTGAGCTCACCTGCCAGCAGGTTTTCAGAGGCAGTAAACGGCTCAGGAGTAGAGGGCCCATCCTTTTCCCGCAGAGCAGCTGGTGGATCTGAATTATGTGCCCTCGGGATTGCAGCACAGCTTCTTATCACTAGACCACCAGAGCTCTGTACGATACATAAAACTGACATAAATTAAGAACTGTGACATCTCACACAAAACTATAAAACTTCTTTAACTATATATTTTGGTAGATAGAGACACACCTACACAGTCAATTCTCATTATCTGAGGTAGTTAGGTAGTTATGTTCTTAAAAAGTGGAGCTCTGGCGGCCTGGTGGGTAAGGCATTGCACTGTCAACACAAAGGCAAGTGGTTCCAGTCCAGAAGCTGCTCCGCAGGACAAAGACGGCAGTCTTCTTTCATGCAGTGTACAGCCTCTGAAAACACACTACGGGTCACCTATGAGTTGGTTCTGACTCGAGAACACATAACAACAATGTGGTCTGAAAAGCCAGTGTGAACAATGATCTAAGGGATACCAGCTGACGGAGATGCTGCCCTAGATGTGCACATCAACCTGTGCCAGCAAATACGGAGGACAGCTTCCTGGCTGACTGCCTGGGGAGATTCACATTTGCTCCCATTTCCAGGAAAAGTGATCCGCCACAATGTGGAAGTCATAAAAAATACCACTGATATTCTATGCAAATAAAATAGTGCTGAAGGTCGTCCAAAACCAGAAGAGTACTTAGAGACCTGCCAGAAGTTCAGGTTGGATTTAGAAGAGGCCATGACACCAAGGATATCATTGCTGATGGATCTTGGGTAAAAGCAAAGAATGACAGAAGAATGTATATTTGTGTTTCATTGACTATGCAAAGGCATTTGACAGTGTGGATCATAACAAACTACAGCTAACATGGAAAAAAATGGGACTCCCAGAACACTTAATTGTGCTTGTGTGAAAACTATACCTAGACCAAGAAGCTATTGTGCAAACAGAGCAAGGGAACACTACATGTTTAAAATTAAGAAAGGTATGTCAGGGTTGTATCCTTTTCTCACACCTGTTCCGTCTCTATGTTAAGCAAAGCTGGACTCTCTAAGAAGAATGTGGCATCAGGATTAGAAGAAGATTCATCAACAAACTGCGTCATGCAGATGACAGAACCTTGCCTGCTGAAGGTGAGGAGGACCTGAGGCACTTGTTGCAGATCACGGACTACAACCATCACTATGGATTTTTATCTCATCAAGAAAAGAAAAATTCTCACCATTGGACCAATAGGCTACATAATCAATCTTTTCATCCTACTTGGATCCACAATCACAACCCTTGGTACCAGCAGTCAGGAAATAAGGAGACATCACACCGGGAATGTCTGCAGTCAGGGACCTCTCTAGATTACTGAGGAACAAGGATGTCAGTTTGAAGACTAAAGTGCACCTGACGCAGGCCATGGCCTTTTCAATCTCTTGCTGTGGATCTAAAAGCTAGACAATGAATTAAGGATGAGAGAAGAACTGATGCCTTTGGTCTGTGGTGTTGGAGGAGAGAACTGAACATCCCAGGAACTACAAAAGAACAGTTGTGTTTTGGGGAAAGTGCAGCCAGCAAGCTCTTTGGAGGCAAAGATGACAAAGTTTCATCTTACGTACTTGGGGCATGTTGTTAGGAGAGGCTATTCCTTGCAAGTTGGAGAGGGACTCTATGCTTGGAAAGGTCTCGGAGGGTCAGTGAAAGAGAGGAAGACCCTCAACCAGACAGACACAGTGGCTGAAGCAATGGTGCAAGAGTTGATGAGGACAGCACTGGATAATGGGGCACAGATGAGGACAGTTGGGTTCAGATCTATTGTTCATAGGGTCACCACAAGTTGTACACAAATTAAAGGCATATAACAACAACAACACACATCAACACGAAAAAGACAACCCAAGTGAAATACGGGCAAAGGACGTGAAATGGCAATTCATATAAAGGAACTCAGATTTGCCCATAAACATGATATGAAATCTCAGCAGAATCTGGGAAATGTAAACTTTTCAGACATCTCTGGCCACATGTTCCCCATGGCTGTGGCATTTCAGGACCACCTGGGACATAATTTAATGCCAAGTCAGGAAGCCGAAACAGTCCTCCTCATCTAAATCTGTGACCTCTCACCTGTGTCATCAGCTCCTTGTCCGCGTCACTGCCCAGGGTCCCCTGCACCGTCCTCAGGACGAGTCTGTACAAGGAGATGGTGTCCTGACACTCGCAACACTGATCAAAGGTTCCGTCTAGATCTCCTGTCCTCCCGGCACTGGGGGATTGAGAGGAGATTTCATTTCTTAAAGACTGCCAAAATCTGGTAACATTCTGGGGCAGATTAAAAACAACACGGTCTCTAATTTTTGTACTAACACCGATATTAACCAGAATTCAGTAATACATGATACAGAAAAAGAGTAGGGTGCTCCAGCCTTGGGGTTTATTTGGTGGAACATTTACCTGGATTCAGTAAATACACACTGGGACTTAGTACAGATGAAGAATTGCTAATCGCTCTGATGAATAACAAAGGTGAGTATGATGAGCTCTCTCACCCAGAAGAATGTGATCTACACAGATAATGAAAAGAGCTGTGTTAGGTATTGTCAGTGATGTTGCAATTATTAGTCATGCGAATGAAATCTGTTTAGAGCCAGATTTTGGAAAAGGTTAGATTAAAAAAAATTAGTAAACAGGAAAGTTTCTTTTAAAATAGTAATACCTATTGTATGCCTTCAGAGCTTCCTATAGTCATTCCAGCTCAGATTCAGTTCAAACCGAACCAACTCCTGACCGATCCTAGAAGGTTTTCTGTGACAGTAAATCACATGAAGAGAATGTCTACCTCTGTCCCTGGGAGCAGCTGGCGGATTCGAACTGCCAAAGAGGTGCCCCCTTTGGAATAACAGTATAACTCTGCCCACCAGACCGCCAGAGTCCTCTTCTGGACAAAGTATATCCTGATCCCGTAGACACGATAGGACCAACAAGCATTGCCCTTCAGGGGTCTAAGGCCGTAACTCTTTCTGGGAGCTGACCACCTCATTGTTATCTCTGGGAGCAACGGTTATGTTTACACCACCAACCTTCTCTCTAGGTCCAATGCTTACTTACTTACACTGGGGGAGAAGACAGAAAAGATTGCAGGTTTTCAAAGATTTAGAAGACTTTTAGAAGATGTAATTTTTAGGAGAGTTTTTCAAATTTCATGCTTAATACAAGAATGTAGAATTAAGGACGACAAGAGAACAAAATCACGAGCGTTCTCGAGTCATGTCTGGAATGACTTTAAAGTACTACAGTCATGTCTAGAAAGAAGACTGTGCTCATTAAGATGACAATCTGTTGTGTTAACACTAAAACAAAGCCCTTCCCTTTTTCAGTCTGGTTGGGATCACAGCCAGGCCGAAGCTGCAGTGTCTGATCAGAAGGCACATCGCTCACAGATGCTAAGAGTGAAGGAGCGTGTTAGGATTTGGGGAACTGAGACAAGAGCAAACTCTCTTGCCCACACACATACACCTGGTGTCATCAAACAACTCCAGCTGAAGTGATCACGGGTGTTCGGGGGCGAGGGTCTGTGTCCCAGGGTCAGCGCTGTGATCTGTGCAGGAGCAGGCCACCTGGTCTTTTGGGGCAAGTTCCAACTGCCAACCTTCAGATCAGCAGCTAGTCACCGTGAATAATGTGCACGTGTAACACACAGACAGACAGACACACACACACCCCTCCCTCTCTCTACTCAGGACCTTTTTACACTTGCCACTTCTCTTTCTCAAAGCAGGGACAGCACCAGTGCTAATGAGCAGTGCCGCTGGCCTGGGAAGAGGGCAAAGATGAGCTTGTGTCCAACACAAGGTTCCTGCTCTGGGTAGGTGCTATCAAGTCAGATAGGACTCCCAGCAACCATGTAATCCACAGACTGACCCTGCCTTCTCCTGACCCACCCTCGCCATCTTCCATGCTTGTCACTGCTATGGTCACTGTGTCAATCCAACTTGGTGGGAACCTCAGTCTCTGTCTTTAACCCTTCACTTTCCCAGCATGATGTCTTTGTCCAAAGACTGGTCCTTCCTGACAGCATGCTTAATGCATGTGGGACAGTTCAATGTGATGAAAATGAGACAAATACACCCAGCTTATTCTGATAACTATGATTATTCAATCTTCAGTTATAAGTAGTTCTTTATCACAGGTTGTTAGCATTGTCAGGACAAGCAGAAGTGGAGTGTCCCTCAGGACTGCTCAGCTCTGAGTTCTAGACAGTGAGAAAGTGGCAGCAAGCATAAGCCACATGAGGGCATTTTAATCCATGACTCACCGTGAGACCATTCTGCTGAAAAGGGTGACATACAGAGGGTTGCAGGTGGTGGCGGAACGGCAGTGTGGCTCTAACTTCTTCTCCTGCACCAGTTCAACAAAACACAAGCACAGACACCAGCCTGGCATTAGGCAGCCTTTCCATGTGAGCCAGCAGACCAGAGCCCAGTGGGAGGACCCATCTCTGCCATCCCGTGGCCGGCCGTCACAGTGGACGCCTCGGCTGTGGCCAAGTGTCCCAGCGTGGAGGCAATGCACATGGAAAGGTGATTTGCACCAATACCTTAGAGTAAGTCTTACAGTGAGGTAAACCTCCCTACTGCTTCTTCCACACCGCGCTAGTGTAAGAGCGAGTGCATTTCACAAAGCAACTACTACGTTCCTTCTAACTATACAGAGTTCCCGTAGTGGCTTTTCCAAAACCTCTTACACAGAAACATGCACAAAGCTGACAGCGAGAGACGGAATCAGCATCGGAAATGCCTACCTGTTCCTTGCTCAACTGAGTGCCTGCTGACTGGCATTCGGCAAGTATGATGGATTGTGCATCTTTTGGATTTAAAGGATCAAGGTGAAGTGTAGGCCATAACCTTTTATTGAAAGAAAAGAAAAAGAAAATTATCTTCTAAGAACACACCCATAAAACAAGTAAAAATTCATTACAGAAATTACATTCTTCTACTGCTTTTTAACATAATCAGAATGAATCTGTTAATCACATTAACACTAATTTATCCCACTCATTCTAATATGTATTGTTATTCTAACATTTAATGTCAACAACGTTGTACAATAAACTGAGCATGTGTTCTTGCTAACTCACAAAATGCTTCTACTTCTCTAATTGGGAGCTACGGTGGCACAGTTTGGAGAGAGGTACACTGCTAACCTAAAGGTGCGTGGTTTGAGTCCACCAGCTGCTCCAAAGGAGAAAGACGGGCATTCATTCCCTAGGAGCCTTGAAAACCCTGTGGGAGGGTCAGCTCTGGGTCAATTCCAACTCAACGGCCAACGAGTGAACGAACTGACCTCCAGACCATCAGTACAGTTACAGAAGGAGGCGCTGGGCCCTGAGAGGTGGACGATAAAGTGGTCTGCCGACCAGGAATTAAAATGCAGGCAGAACAGTCACCCTGCAGCACACATTCTACATGGAGAAGGAGCAGGTCAAAATCCTACTCTTTTCAGGTATGAAGCACAGATAAACATCGTGTCTCTACACATGCTCACTGACATCCAGTATACAAACAGTATTAACATTTCCTGAAAGGGCGGGAGTGGGGGGAGGAGTAAGGCTCCTCAAATGGGGCAAAAATACAATATAGTCATGGAATTGGTGCCCCTGAAAAGCAACGCCGTGACAGTTCGAGAAGCAGAGTTTTATAAGACCTGACCAGGGGGTGGGCATTTCGGCACTGCAGCCTCACTTCCTCTTAGGCTCACTTTATGTCACTCAACCGAGCAGAGGCAGTTCTCGCATGTGAAGGCAGCGCTCGCGGTTTGGTCTGAACAGAGCTATGCTGCTCACCCACAGGGGTGCCTCTCAGGAGGTTCAAATCCACCAGCTGCCTCCACAGGAGAGGGATGAGGAATCTCCTCCTGCGGGACTCACAGACTCACTGCCGGACGGCCAGCCGGGAGTCAGGTCTTATTCGAAGGAAATGAGTTTGAGTTCTGACTGCTACTCCCTACTTGAAATCACAATAAGCAACTCAGGTGATCCTGTCCACAACCTACGCTCCTGACCCCACCTCGTTCCCGTTAGGTCAGTTAATGTCTTCAACTGGAATTCTGGGAATGACTTATCCTCTCCTCTCATGTCCCAGACCTGACATCCACCAATTCTCAGAGATTCCTTTTATTGAACTCATCCATTTCTCTCTGCCCTCACTGCCCTTATGTGAAAAAGAAGCCAGAACCCAAGGCACATCAGAAGGCGCCGTGTGTGCACGCAGAAGCATTTCTGTACTCGTACCTCCACGCTGGAGGGCATGTTTCTACATTCACAGACACAATTACTCTCACATTCACTGGCAGGGGGTCTAGCAGCCATTTCATGTGCTTTTCAACTTGCTTAAAAATACAAAAACAAAATTCAATCTATTAATTCACAGCTTTTCCATACAACCCAATAATCGCTCCCCAAGTAAACCGAAATTCACGTTAGTTTCTCGTTTATCAAGAAAAGACCTTAGTTTTAGACAATGTAGCTCACAATTAAACCAACTCTCATGGCAAAGCATCATCACGGTCACTGCTCGGAGTTCTGACCCCAGAGCTCTGTGAAGACATCAAATGACCAGATCCAGCTTGCGGGACCTAGTTAACGGCCTCCACAGTCGGCACCATCCCCATGCTCCCATCCAAGGGGTTAAAGAAAAGAAATATCAGTATTTTCTTATCACATCATATAATTTAACACTTGTTAGAGCTGCCCCCGTACTGGTGCCTCCTTCCAAGCACAAGAGTAGCTTACAAAGTATTAATATGCTATATGCAAAGTAAAAATATCACCTGCACTTGGTCTACAGAATCGATGACAAGGAGGACGCTGCCTTGATGCCGGGCAGACAGCTTCTCCAGCCAGCGAGGAAACTCTTCCAGAAGCTTGGCAGGGTCGAGGGTCAGCGCCGACGCTGACCAGGAGTGCTGCATCAGCTGCAGGACGGGAGTGTGCACAAATTGCAGTTACGTGTTTACATCTCTGTCGCGACTTCTACAACCCAAACTGGGTCACCTGGAGGACTCACAGGGATGGCTATTGTAAACCCGATAAAAAAACATGCCTCACCATCAGGTACTTTATCAGCCCCCATCATCCCAAAACAGAAATGAGAATTCCGACTTTCACCTTGTTTTGGAAATGAAAACACTTCCAGAAGAGGGTGTCTGATACCTTTAAAGTCATACGTTTGATGATCAAGGAGGACTCCGCGCTGGCAGACAAGGGTCTCCCCACAAAATGAGAAAGAATCAGCGTGGAGGGGGAGCTCTGTTGCTGGACCTGAATCCTGAAGCAAAGAGAGGGCAGTTGGCGGGACCCCTGTGACCTGGCGGGACCCCTGTGACCCAGTGGCCTTCAGGAAGCACAGGGCTGAGAGCTTCATACTACATCCTGTCAAATAAACCTCAAACACAGCGGCTTCATCTTGGCTACAAACAGAATAACTTACACCACAGGCGTTTACAACTGAGGTTAGGGTATCATTAACATGAACACTGGCCTTTCATTAAAAATATGCTCACTGAAGACAGAAAGATGTTTCTCGATTTAGCACAAAAATATTTTTCCCAACATGGTTTTAAATCAAAGGGTAATAAAAAGAGAAACAATCGCTCATGCCAACTCTTCAGTGTAAATACCAATTATGAAATAAAATACAGCTTCTTAGGGAAATGCTCTGTTGTCGGGTCAGTGCTAATCGAGCCCTGCTGGGAGACGGTAAATCCCTCTGAGAACAGGTGGCCACTTTTTCCTCCGAGGAGGGGCCCGGGAGTGTGAATCACCAACTTCTCAGTTACCAGGCCACTATACTGCCAGGGTTGCCAGGCACTGGGATCAAATCACACAACAAAAATATTTATACTACTTTTAAAAAATGAAACAAACAAAAGTTTAGTAGCTTATATGGAGCTTAGTCTATAAACTGCAGACCTGGGCTACATTCCAACCATCGATTAACTTTGATGATGTTCAACTGACAACCCAAAGGCAATGGTTCGAATCCATCAGGGGCTCCTTGGAAGAAGGCTGGGCACTCTCCTCCTGCCATGGATAGGGTCTGAGAAATGCTGGAAGGTCAGCTATGGGTCAGTGTCACCTCGACAGCAGTGAGTTAGGGTATGTATTTTCCTCATTGTTTCATAAAATCCAGTGGCTTTTGAGATGAAGCACATGCAGGCCCATCACCTCTGTCCTCAGCCCTCTCCTGCCCCGCTGACCTCTCAGCAGCACGCCCCTCTCTCACCTGTCTCCTCTCTGTAGTCATGACAGCTCACACTTTCTGCTGCTCCTTCTGCATGCTTACTCTAACATTCTAATTAGATGACCTCTTATTTTGCTTTTTTGAAAAAAGAAATGTACTGTCCTGCCTGTGCAGTGGCCACAACAACAAGCTCAAACCCACCAGCAGACCTGTGTGAATCCCTCGCACCTGTGTGAAGGTGGTACAGGGCCCAGTGGCGTTCTGGTCTGTCCCAAGAGGGACCGGGGGCTGAAACCAGCTAGACATCAGCTGACAGCAGGCCACAGGCCACCCAGGAAGGCAGGCCAGCAAGCAGCGCATCCCACCAAGGAACACAGCGACCCTCAGAGCAACACGGGCAGGAAGCATGTCATGGCGCTGTGTCATCTCACCACTTGGATAAAAGCAGGGACTTCCCAGAACCAGGTCCTCCAGACACGAGCAGCGGTGGGATGGGTGCGGGAGCGGCCACCAGGTCATTAAGGCGCTGGTAATACTAAAAACAAAGGTGAATTTCCATCAGGATGATGCCCAAGCCTCCACAACCAAACAAACCAAACCTGCTTATCCTCTGACCACAAGAAAGGTGTCTGGAAGGAATGAGAACCACTTTCAGTCCACAGCAGCCCTGTAGGCACTTCCTTTCCTGGCTGGTGACACGTGCTGAGGATGTGATCTCAGAAGGAGCCCCCACCTCTCGGCCCCGTAGCCCTGCTGAGGGGGTGAGGCATGTCTGCAGGATGTGGTGGGAAGTCACCGTGCTCTGTCAGAGTCTCTAAGCTGCAGGTCCTGAAGGCCCAGCACACACCCCAATTTCCTGGCCAGAACAGTGCTTGTCCTGGAGACCACTCCATTTTCTAGTGATCCCCATAGACAGGCCCAAGAACAAGTAGATTTTGTTGGCATTTTTCAACCCGCTCCAGAGAATGAGCCTAGAATAGACTTTCTGAGACCTTGCTGAAGTGGGCCCAGCTCTCGGCCACATGCAAGAGCTCATGTTCTCAGGCTTTCCCCAGACACTCAAAACTGGCTCAGAGCTGAAGAGGACACACTCAGAAATCCAACTCGTTGTTGCTGTTATGTGCCGTCGAGTCGCTTGTGACTCACAGCAGCCCTATGTACAACAGCCCTAAACCCTGCTCTATCCTGTGCCAATCACACTGTCTCTGACACATCCATCCCGATTACCCCAGTCGCTGAATCAATCCACCTCATAGAGGGTCTTCCCCTCCTGCGCTTTCCCTCCACCCTACCAAGCATGATGTCCCTCTATAAGGACCTGGTCCCTGCTTACAATATGTCCAAAATATTTCAGACGGAGCCTCAGAAACCTTGCCTCCAAGGAGCAGCCCTGTTTAACCCCCTCCAGGATGAATCTGTTTGTTTTGTTGGCAGTCCATGGTACATTCAATACTCTTGTCCAGCACCACAGCTCAAAGGCATCAATTCTCCTTCTATCCTCCCTAGTCACTGTCCAACTCTGATGCATAACAAGTGATTGCAAAGACCAT